TATCACTGCATTCGAAAATGAACTTGTTCTTGGAAAAAACTATGCAATCTCTAAAGCTTATGTTAAAAACAACACTGGAAAGTACACAATAGGAGCTCTACAATGGATGATTTCTGGAGAAACTTGTCTTCAAGAGTTGAATGACGATAACCTCGAACTTGTTTTCTCAACCTATCATCTGACTTCTTTCGATGAAGTTGAATAGGTCATGGATACAAACACTGATATAAGTAAAAAATTACATCTTTATTCTCAAAATAAATAATACTATTATATTTAATTTAATCAAATAATTAGAATTACATGCAATACAAAAAAAAATTATTTATTTTTCATTTTGCAGACATCTTGGCAATTGTAATTGGTATGATGCCTAAACGATTGATTCAACGAAAGGATGGCTACCAAACTTGGGTACGGGATGTAATACTTCTGGACCGAAAATTCAAAACAATGATGTTGACACCGTGGGATTTATTTATTGACAGAGAATGCAAATTGATGGCAGAAAAAATTAACAAAAAACCAGTACTCTTTGCAACAGATATAAAAGTCACCTCTTTTTCCGGTATGTTTATATTATTTTTCCTTTTTTAAATTTTGCTTGAAAATGCATTTAATATGTTAGATCAATTAATTGTATAGGTTTAAAACTCTCCACAAAAGTTCATATTACCTTCTTCATGAATACTCATTTCCTTGCGGTACAAAAGGTGGTTGAATGGTATGTATGGATATTCTTATGTTTACAATTATTATGGTTTTATTTGGCTTATTTACTCTTTCATTCTTCCAGAAAAGATACAAATTCAGACAAAATCGATGAGTTGATTTTAAAAAAGTCATACACTCAAAAATCTCCCACAAAATTGTCTCCTCCACTGCCAGCAAATTCATATTAATACAAAATCTACATGGTCGACTTTTATCGGTATTGTTATATTCCTATACACACTAGAATTATGGTTTCTATTTATCTTTCTTTATATGTTAGAATTTCTTTTTTTAGAGAAAATTTTATTGGGTAAGTGCTACAACAAAAATGGAAAAAATAGATCCCAAATGTTGGTACATGGCTTGCAACAATTGCTATCGGCGAACAAGCGCTGATTTTGGTAAAATATATGTTTGTATCTTCTGTAAAAGTTCCAATTCCAAAGCTATTTCTCGGTGTGTATATATATATATATCTGAATAAATAATTACTCTTTATCTCAGAGCAAGAGCATATGTCCAATTATCAGATGTCACATGATGTATAAATGCAAGTGCAATTGGTGAACCTACAAAGAAACTTATGTTCACAAATGTACAAACTTTGACGAAAGAAATAAACTTTGTAATAATTTACAGTCTCCTTTAATCACTATATTTGATGGATTTATTCATAACATAAATATTTTTTATACAGGGTTTAGAAGAAAATTTTCGAGATGTAATTCGGAAAATGCAAAACACTGAAAGAGCATTCTATTTCAAAGCAACTCAAGCAGAACATAATTTATCCAATTGCAAATTTAACACCGTCTCCGACGAATCTTTATTTGCAGAATAACAACAAAAATGCCGCCAAAAGAATGTTGATTCTGAAAAAAAATTGAAAATTTTTGACATAGATACCAATGACAATTGGTCCCCTCCAACAAAGAGAGCTCTTTTCAAATCAGAGAGCAGTCAGAAAGTCTCAGTTCAAATCCATTTACTTCATCAGACAAAATGAAAAAAAAAAATAGAGTAAAAAATGGAAGAAAAAAATTCAGCTATACTATCTTTTGAAATAGTTGGAATACCAAGCCAGTTCATTTTGGACGATATTATATATATTTTTGGTGTGGTTTGTACTTATTTTGTAGCTTTCATTGAAGTTAGTTTTTGTTTAATTTACATCTCAAATATAAAAACAATAATTTCTCATTTTCAAAAACTTAAAATACTTTTTTTTTAATTCTAAATATTCCACGCTAATAATAAAATAATTTATACAATACTCATGCAACGCACGAGGCAGACACTAGTCATAGTAAGAGTTTTGTTATAATCTTGGATCATCCATTTAGTTACTCTACCATGTAGTCCTTGTACGACTATCCATATGCATTGAGGACTATATTACTTCATTTCAAACACGATAAAAAATGGAATAGGATCAATATCAAACCTTATTCCATGGTATTTGCATGAGATTCCTCTTTAAGAAAATCCTCGAGAGGGCTTAGTTGATTCATGATTTATGTTTCATCTTCAATTGCTTTGAGATGAGCCACAATGCCAATAGCGAAGGAGCTCTCTGTCTTTCTAGGATCAGTATATCAATTTAAATGGAACTATATTAGTTCAGTTCAAATAGAACTCTCTATCCATTTAGTTACTCTACCGTGTGGTCCTAACACTACTATTCGTCCGCATTGAGTAATACATCACTTCATTCTAAACACAATTTTATATCAGTTTAAATAGGACTCTTCTACTTTAGTCCAAATGGATCTTTCTCATATCAATTTATTCCAAATAAAACTTTAGTAGTGTGGTCAAACAAGGACTCTTAAATGGATCATTGAATTATGACATATCTTTATTAGTTTAGTACAAGCACAAAGCAAGACCTCCAATAACTAGAAATTGAATCTCCTAAACTTCAACCAATGTTTGAGTTACATAATTCTTAAAGAATCTAGCTCCATTTTCTAAAGTGTAATGCTATTTGTAGTCGCTCATTGCGGTAGTCGTCCTATGTGACATACACATGACAGGTAGTTATTTGATGAATGAGTTAATAAAAAATTACCATATTAATACATCAAATAATCACGTACTATGTGCATGTCACGTAAAGCGATTATCGCAGTGAACGATTGCGAATAATATTATTCTTTTCTAAATGATATTTTTATGGAGATTAGTTTTTCGAGACCAGTTTGGTCAATTAATGTTTTGTTCACCTTTAATTTCAGTATTTAACCCTAAATTCTATAACTACTTCTTGAAACTAGCTTGTTTGCTCCGTAGTTCTTTACTAAAAGAGTAATTGTGCTTTTCCAACACGTTCTAACTACATGAAAAGAGTGGAAGGGTTACAAGTGATCTGCTTGCTACGATATAATGAAACTTAGGGGCTGTTTTCATGAAATGTGTAATTAAAAAATTGATAGAAGTTGTGGATCTCATTTTAATGCGTGATTAAAATTATTCATGAACTTTGACCTCAACTTTTTAGCAAATTTTTAAGATATTCCAAACAAGCACTTATATTGATTTCTAATCAATTTTGAGAGTGAGTAATTTCTTTTAAATGCTTTCAACTCAGAGAAACAAAGGAAAAGATAAGGATGGCATATGAAAATTTAAAAAGAGCTTGGGATATACACGCTTTCTTGTATCTTAATGATAGAAGACATATATAAACAATAAAGTCTTATGTATAAATTTTAACTAATCGAACCTCTACAGTGAAATTTTATACAGCTATCTTTTCGTCGAGTTGAGATCTATTATCCTCTTACTAATTTTTTCCCACATCGGAACATCGCCTTTTGTTAGTAAACCGAAAGACATTAACGTAGTACACATCATCTCATTCTTTTCATTTGCTAACAAAAGCTGATGTGTGAATGAGTTGAAAATTTTAGTGACGGGATTGTCAACGAGATATCACGACTTGTGTCACTCTAGCTGAGCACTAAGTTAATAGTGATTTCTTGTTTCTTGTGTTTAAGATCTTTCCCATTGTTTTCTTTGTGATACCAACACAACTACAGATTTTAAAAGATTTTCTCAACTACTTTTATGTTATCAAGACAAAACAGATTGAGGTTAAATGTCACGTTTTCGAAGTGTGATTTTTCTTTTCACACGGAAGTTAAGTTTTATTATGGATTAATTAATACTCAATTCAGGGCTAGATAAGAAAGTTTATAAGGTTACTAAACATTATTATAGAAAAATATTTCTTTTCGTGCTCACACTGCATCAGTTTGGTATTAGAGCTGACCTCTTGATATTCTTGAGACGCTAATGGCATAAATGATGTTACATGATGAGGACACAATTATATATGTCGACAAGTATTCTTGTTAACACAGTGATAAAAATATTGCACAAACAATTAGAGACATTGATGTTGCAGATCGATTGTCTAGTGGGGAAAATTGTCTCAAGGAATAAAATCTTTGTTTGAGACACAATTTGGAGATTTTTTTTTTTTTGGGTCATGTCGTTGGTAAAAACTTTCTGTTTTTCTTCGAAATTTGGTTACTTGATAAAACATGCACAAGCTACTTTAAGTCTCTTGATTGGGAATACTCTCTTTGAGCGACTAATGAGAACACTCTTGCATACAAGTTGGTTGTGATGAGAAAATAAATTATGATCATTACCTCACATGCTCATGACTTTGATATAATTTCTTCCATTACTTTAGAGTAAGTAATTTGTGCAGTAAACATCATGAAGAAACGATCACGCTATCAAATTGGAGCTTAGTTAAAGTCATGTCCTGCCTTAATGAAATTATGACTCCAGCCCGGTTTATCTCTCCCGTCTTAATCTGGAGGAGATGAAGTTGTATTGTGTCGAGATGTCAAAAAATGCCAATCTGACAAATATGTATTAGGGGATAGCAAGTTCCGGACATCATATCTAGATTCTTGTAGAAGAGTTGAATCATTTTAATATAGATCAGTTAAATTCCTGTACATTATATTAATTTGAGATTAGTTCTTTCAACCTAAATAAACATGTGAGAGATTTGATGTGAACAAGTTCCGAGGAGAATCAAATTGCAATGGTCAAATTTGTGTGTTTTGGTTGAATTAGATACAATCACAGCAGTAATTAAATATTACTGTCTGTAACATGTGATTTTGAACAGTTTATTAAATTGTTTTTCATTCCCCAAGTGAAATTGAAAATGTTAAGAATATTTCACATGAAAAATGCTGGTTAGGTTTATATTAAAGGTTTTATTTATAATTCTTTCATTCCATCAATATATATATGTGCATGCTTGCTAAGTTCTCCTCCATACTCCAGAAGCATACAAGAAACCGATTACTGTGCCTTTTGCTCCAACATACAAATCCTATAGCGCTGCCTACCCATCCATCCTCGGCTCCAGGAAGCTAAAAAAGGCTAAACTACTGCTCGTCGTAAGAAAATGCAAGCGAGTGATTTCAAAGGCAAAGTTTGTGAAGAATCCAGGAAAATATGGAGGGTTGCATTGCCAAGTATTTTATCAAGAGTCACTTCATTTGGAACTGTAATTGTGACTCAATTATTTGTTGGACATATAAGTTCATTGGATCTTGCTGGCTATGCTCTTGTTCAAACCATATGTGTTCAATTTGTAAATGGAATACTGGTAAGTACAGGTTCTTTCGCCTCTGTAAATAATTTTCTACGATATGGGTTGTTACTAGAGTAACAAGCAAAGAAAATGTACTGATTTATAGTGGTTCACCTTCAATAGCGATCAAGTATGCAAGTATTATTACATAGAAGATGCAAAAATTGTTTCTTTAACACAGTAATTGATAGAATTGATTATGCCACAAAGTTTTAACTCAAACAATGTAGTTACTTACTCTTCTTCATCTTCATTTAATTTATTTTTACAGATAGGAATGTCGAGTGCAACTGAAACTCTCTGTGGACAAGCATTTGGATCAGAGCAATACCATATGTTGGGTATTTTCTTGCAAAGATCATGGCTTGTGAATCTCATCACACTAACAATCTTACTTCCTGTTTTTATCTTTGCGACGTCAATCTTTAAACTACTTGGCGAGGAAGAAGCTATAGCGAAATCTGCTGGATACATTTCTCTGTGGAGCATCCCAGTTATTTACAGTATAATTTTTTCTACTACGATCCAAATGTATCTACAAGCACAACAAAAGAACATGGTTATCGCATGGCTATCCATCATGCAATTTGTAATCCACATTGCCATGTCATGGCTTTTCATATGCAAACTTGACTGGGGAATTGCTGGTGCCATGGGGGCGCTGTGCATATCTTCGTGGTTATTGGTTGTCGGAGAATTTGTATACATCTTCGGAGGTTGGTGCCCTGATACATGGACGGGATTCACTACAGGTGCATTCAAGGATATGTTGCCAATGGTGAAATTTTCAGTATCTTCTGGTGTGATGATTTGGTAAATTTTTTTCCTCATTATTGTTTATTTCTCATTAAATGCTACTGTTTTTCTGGTGTCATCTTAAAAATGTCAACTTTATTAAAAGAAAGTAGTTCCGAATCTTTTATGTTGATTGCTCTTGCTTGTTTAAGCCTTTTTAACTTTGATAACAAATTGAGTATTCGGGTTTCAACTTGAAAAGTCAACCATTTTAAAAAGAGACAACAAAATTTTCATTTTTAACGCGCGGTAAGTTTCTAGGCAACATGTACCTTTTTGTTATTCTGTCACATCCCCGAGCCTCCATAAACTTCACATGAGAGTAAGTAAACTTCGTGAGTTGTGCCTTTAACTGTCTCGATGATCATATCTTCACTTGTTACTACTTTGATTTGTTACAGCTTAGAGTTGTGGTACAATTCCATTCTGGTTTTACTAGCAGGATACATGAAAAATGCCAAGGTTGCCATATCCGCCATTTCTATTTGGTAAGGATTCATTACAAGCTCGTCTCATGTTCTTCTACATTATGGAGAAATCGACTAATCTAACTAATTTTGCAGCCTTAATGTCATTGGATGGGAATTCATGGTTAGCCTCGGAATTTTGGGTGCTGCGTGGTAAACATTTTTATTCTGTACTATGACAACAAGTTGTCTTTCTTATTGCATTTCGTTTGTGTTTAACAACCATTTCTCATTGTTCTCCGGATAGCGTTCGAGTTTCAAACGAGCTCGGGAGAGGAGACGCAAAGGCTGTTAAGTTTTCGATTAAAGTCCTGATCAGTACATCAGTCTTAATAGGGTTATTCTTTTGGGTTCTTTGCTTTGTTTTTGGCAATAAAATCGGATACTGGGTCACTAACGACGAAGAAGTTGCACGAAATGTTGCTGATCTTTCTCTTCTACTTGCTTTCTCAGTTTTGCTCAATGGTATTTTCCCAGTATTCTCAGGTTAGTCGTATGTTCTCTGATCTTGTTCATCTACAAACCTTGATTTTCCTAAATTCACATGTTTTCTTTTCTATGATGTTACTCAGGGGTGGCTATTGGAGCTGGTTTACAGAAGACTGTAGCAATCATTAATGTTGTTTGTTTCTATATAATTGGAATACCAATTGGGGCTTTACTTGGATATGTGACTCATCTTCAAGTTAAGGTAATATTACCTTTACGGTCTTTTTTAAGTTTAACTATGTCGAGTTTAACCCATCAAACACGTCCCTTTTAAGTTAGTGTTACTTTCTTGAAAACATGTGTTATCCTTTTTTGAACAAATACTGAATCCACAGGGAATATGGATCGGGATGATGTGTGGAGTTCTTACTCAAACACTTGCATTGAGCTTCATGGTATGGAGAACAGATTGGGAAGAACAGGTAAATTTTTACAATTATTGAATATAAAAAGTTGAAGATTGAAAATAAAAATACGATAATGTCTTCGTCTTTCTAATAAATTCGTGCTTTTATAGGTATCTAAAGCTTCAGCACGCCTCAAAAAGTGGTACTTGAAGTCTTCTGATGAGTCTAATCAGAAGCCTGATCAAGCTTGAGTTTAAAACCAAAGACAAATTTCTACAACTTTTGGCTGCAAATCTCATGCTTTTTGAGTTTTTGTAGTTTTATTAGAGCTTGAATTTGCATTACTAGTTCCCTAGTAGACATTGAAATTCCACTTTTACTTGAATTACAAGTGATGATAAAGAAACTAGATTGAATGCCTCTTTCCCGTTCTCACATAGTCAACTTTTTCTCCATGTTTTTGCAAAATGTTAGTCAGCAAATTGCGCGATAACTTGTTATATCGACCAGCAAAAATATTTTTTCCCATGTAATGTCTTCTTGCTGCTTTGTTCATCAATTCCATGAATCCCAACCTTCTGAAGTTCCTTTTTTTGCTGATATACAATTATGTAGATCAACTTTTTTGATTCTAAGGATTATAACGTTTCATTTTCGAGTTTGGGCTAGTTGGGTTGAAATGCACCTTCAATTTCAGGCAGGAGGCCTAGTGCTTGATACAAATGTTAGTGTAATGGTTTTGAAAGAGGATGGTCACAAGTAGGAACTGCCTTTCTTGTACTTCTGCTGCAGCTAACCCAAGTGTTCAACCACACGACTTTACACTGGGAGTTCGGTATTTCTTTTCGGAAATTGGTTAAAACTGGAGATAATTCTGAGAAGTGTCAAGCATTTCCATCAAGCCCTACTAAAATTGAACTAGATAAATCTTTTGAATTTGCCATTGTATGATCATATTCATGTGCTACATTGTTCCATGGAGATTTGTTCGAGTTTCTATCAGAACTTAGCTCAATTCTAGCCGATTAACTGATCGACCTCCATCTTGTGCTTTATCCTTTGGAGAATATGAAAAAGATCTTTACTTTGCTTCCGGAACTTCGACATCAAATTATGATTGCATATCAAGAACACAAAATTTTAAATGGATCTTGAATGATCTTCTTTCTTTTCTTTGCCTATGAAAATGGGAATATTTCTTCTTCAATAATGAGATTAAGTTTTGTGTTTTGCCTCCTATGAAATATGATTGTGAGAGTTTTTTAAGTTGAGACTTCCATATTTATATATTCCCCTCAATTGGTCCTTCAATTTCTGATCCATTCAATTCGACCCCTGAACTTGTCAAAAGTTCAATTTTAATTTGTCCACTTCACAAAATTCTTCAATGAAAAAAATAATATATACACAAAATTAAATCAAACTTCCCTCAAATAATCAATATTAAGCTATTTTAAGGGTCTAGATAAGCTTGTAAAACACACTTATAAAATATAATCAAACTTGAATAAATAATATGCAACAACAATTTGTTAATTTTCACAGCTAGTCTATCGAAAGTGACATGAACAGATTAAAGTCAATTAATTATTCAGGACTTAACAATATTTAATCTTTGTTAATTGTCACGTTGATATCTCTACTGTTTTGTTATATGTTTATCATCAATCTTGTGTTCATTATTACTTCTAATCTTCAATGATGATTTTTTGTCCAACTACTTCGTTTGCATACTTTGAACGAGAGGCAAAATTTTCAGTTCCATTTTATTATTTTTTTTAATATGAGGGACAAATAAGGGTGCGGTTGGTTTCCATTTTCATTTTCAAAACGATTTTTAGTTTTCCTCGAAAACAGTCCATTTTTTGCATTTTGAACATTTTCGACATTTATAACTGAAAACGTTAAAAAGTCGTTTTGTATTTTCATTTATAAATTTTAACTCGTTTTCGAAAATGCGTTTTCAAAAACGACGGACCAAACGCGTTTTCCACGTACAATTAGGAATATAAATACAATTAAAAAAAACCTAATAATCCTTAGTGCAATTTAAAAACTTTGAAATAATAGAAATTGTGGTGAACCTAGAGAAAATATAAATTAATTCTTATCATCTTAAAAAAAATAAAAATAGCGCAAAGTTACAGAGCGCCAAACCTGGCGTAAAATTCAAGTAGTTAGTTCATCGAAAGCAGAACATTGTTAAGTCCGCCACTCCCAACGGACATTTCGAAGCTCCATTAAACCCCTCCTTCTCCTCTCTTATAGAACGAAGCCAAAAATCTCTCTCTCACACACAACAAATTTCTCTGAAAATGCAATCTGCAATTTCTCTCTCGCTCTCTTCTCCTTCCACGATCGCCAGATCCGACTGCACTGCTGCAGCCGCCGCTAATGCGTATATTTGTACGCCGAGATCGCTCCGATTTTGCGGTCTAAGAAGAGAGGCTTTTAAATCCAAGTCGTTTAATTCGTTGTCAGTTTCGACTCGATTACTGCCGTGTTCTAGAAATTCGAGCTTTAAGAAGGTTTGTGCTGCGTTGCAAAGCAATGGAGCGCCGTCCAAGGGAGAATTTGATTATGATCTTGTAATAATTGGAGCTGGTGTTGGTGGACACGGTGCTGCACTTCATGCTGTTGAGAAGGTATGACTAAAGTCTGAGAATGTAATTGTTTTCCTTGATTTTAGCTGCTTTTGCTTTTTTAAATTCAGATAATTTTTTGTAAGCTTAACGGACAGTAGTTATTAAGATTTTTATTTTGTTAAGCAAGGTTCAATAATACTTGAAGCAACCAAAAGTTCCAAATACATGTGTTTTTTCCTAGCAAGTGTTTATGAGCTAAGGCGAGAGCTTTATTTATTGAACACATCAAGGGAGGATCTTTGTCTATTTATTGTATTATTAGCCCCCGTTTAGCCCCCATTATTACAAATTATGTGTAATATTATTTTATGGAAGATTTTGTGATTGAAAATAAGGGAGAGAGAAATTATAATTTGACCGAATGGGGGCCAAACGGGGGCTAATGTAGTGCCAGATGTAGAGCATTTTTCTATATCTATTTAGCAGACAATCATGGGAGGATAATAAAATAATATGTACTGCAGGGTCTAAAAACTGCAATTATTGAAGGAGATGTCGTCGGAGGAACTTGTGTAAACAGGGGTTGTGTTCCTTCAAAAGCACTTCTGGCTGTCAGTGGCCGCATGCGAGAGCTTCAAAATGAACACCATATGAGGTCTTTCGGTCTCCAGGTACTTCTTATTTAACATTCAAGGTAGATCAGTCACCATCTTATTAAATCACCCTTGAGACTGCAAGGTTCTGATATAATTTCATTATATACGAGTTTCATCATCAGCAGAGCCAACTGTAGTGCATTTTTTTCTATTAAGCATGCTCAGTTCATAGAATACGCAGAATCGTACAATACGTATACAAATCCTTTGCTTTGCCTTATAGTAATGAAAATTCTATAGGAAGTTATTTAAACTTCTGATGAATGCATGGCCTTATGAAAGCAGTATAAAAAAATGATCATTGTGTATCGAGAATGGACCTTGGACCTTCAAGAAGATAAACGTAAAGATTTAAATAATAGCATTTCTGAAAATAATATGAGTTCACTTTACCTTTTTCTTCCTAAAGGTATAAAATAGAAGCTCAAAGCTTGAATAACCAATTGTTCGCAATAAAATGGGACAAATCATTTGTTCTTTTGCTCTTTAATTTGGTTGAGTAAACAGGAAGCATATCTTTGGCAAAGATTTACATTTAGATATTCACACGTTCTTTTAATTGGTGTATACTTCCCAACTTATCAAACGCCACATGCCACAACAATAGGTTGCAGCCGCTGGATATGACAGACAGGGAGTCGCCGATCATGCAAACAATTTGGCCTCAAAAATTCGAAGTAATTTGACCAATTCTATGAAGGCTCTTGGTGTTGATATATTGACAGGCACTGGTACAATTTTGGTAGGTGTATTTTCTCATCGGTATTCTAAAGTCTACTTGTGTTAATCCTTGTAACTCTGTTACTAGAAAATCAAACTTAGTATTATGGTTTTAGAAATATTTAAAAACTACAGCATAACAATTATACGCATTTCCAGGGTCCACAGAAGCTTAAGTTTGGAAAAGGAGGTTCTGGGGACACTATCATAACAGCAAAAGACATAATAATTGCTACCGGTTCTGTTCCCCTTGTGCCCAAGGGAATTGAAGTTGATGGTAATTACTTGTTTCTTCATCATCTTTTATTTTTAGCGTGATTTTCCTTTATTTTATTCTTGTCTAAACAAATTAATTATTTTTGTGGCTACACAGTTTAAAAAGGGAATGCAGAGGGGGTGGGGGGATGAGTAAAGGAGGATTCTTTTGTTACTGTATCATAAAATATGCCAAGGTTTCTATACAAAATAAAATGCACAGGTGACATTGACGTGTAAAATAGCTCTGTGATTTCCTCGTGGGTTTCACCATGCTCTATACTTATTACTGCATATATTAGAGTGCTTCTCCAATTCTATATATCAATGTTGTCGAACAAATATTGGTTCAGACTACTGTAGGTATGCCATTTTGAATATTTAATCTAACAACACCGTAATCACATGTTCTTTCTAATGTGAAATGCTAGAGGATGGAAAATTTAGAAACCACTGAACGTCTCTATTTTGAATTTCGCACCCTTCTCTCCTAAATGAAACTCAAATCCACGTCACTAACCTGGTAAGGATTCACTCGCTTATTGTCTGAATAACTAAGAGAAAGAGCGAATTTGGCACTAGTTTTCACTTAGTAGCATGTCATTGCTTTCTTATACCTCTTCTGTCACACTGCTTGGCTGAGGTGTATTGCGTATTCGTTCACAGTTTGCTCATCTTTCATTATATACATACTTGCTGCAGGTAAGTCTGTAATAACCAGCGATCATGCTCTTAAACTGGAATTTGTTCCCGAGTGGATAGCCATCGTAGGAAGTGGTTACATTGGGCTTGAATTCAGTGATGTCTATACAGCACTTGGAAGTGAGGTGTGAGATTTATACTGTTACTCATTTCGTATAAAAAGATAAAACCTTCACATGTTTTAACTATTTTTGGGAAAAAGACAGAACAAAAGAAGGGAATAGAAGAGAAAAAGAGTTAGAATTAGAAGAAAGAAATAGAGTGAAAAAATAGAATCAGGAAAGCTTATGAATATAACTGCCATTTTTGTTTTTCATATATATTATTTTTGGGAAATTATGAATACCCGTCTTGATTACTCAAATTTACGTAAAACAAATTATAGGTTTCCTTCTCTTTTTATATAATAGTAAAATGAATATCCATCAGACTCGAAGTTGAGCATAATTGAACTTCCGCAGGTTACATTTATTGAAGCTTTAGATCAACTTATGCCTGGTTT